ATGTCTCACAGAAAGTATCCCCTCAACAGGTGTGTCCACTACCGGTCCAACAGGTAAGTCCCCCCCCCCCCCCGCCCCCGCGGACTGTGGCGGAAAAAGTGCATTCATCAAACAGGTTTCAAGTCCTTTTCAATAACGGGCCTTTAGTGTTCAACATGCATACGTTGGGCTAATTTGCAAAAAAGGGTGACTTTGCAACATTTAGCGAAAGCGGATTAAAGATGAGGTTTGTCTGTACATACGAATCGTTTTCTCGCTCCTCTCTCTCTCTATCTCTCGTCTCTGTCTCTCTCTGTCTGTCTGTCTGTTCTCTCTCTCATCTCTCTCTCTCTCTCTCCTCTCTCTCTCTCTCTCTCTCTCTCTCTCTCTCTCTCTCTCTCTCTCTCTCTCTCTCTCTCTCTTCTCTCTCTCTTTCATCAGTGTGGAAAATTCTCTTTGTTCTTTGTTAAATTTTCTGTCCTCGAGGTTCTGCAGAGATCGTGGTTACTGGAATTCTATTGTTGATTAATGGTCTTTGTTTTTTTCTCTCTTCTTTATTATATATGTATTTTTAGGACAGATAACATAATTCAGTTTCAGTATTAGGATATCTGGATTTCAGAGTATTTCGAGAAAATAGGAATTAGTGTTGAGGATTTCGTATTTTTCGTTTTTTTTCTCGAAAAGGTGTAAACATTGAAGTCAGTTGTTCATCGTCCTCTTGAATTTGTTCCGTTTTGTACTCTGAAAGCGATTACCAGTTTCCTGAAGTTCATGAATAGAAGGGTTGACAAAGTTATTTATGTGAAGTTTATTTTTGTTCCTTTTTGAATGTTTAGCCGATATTGTTAGCTCCTTGAACCAACGGACACTTATTTTTTGGTTGTTTTAGTTGATAGTGCACTAAAGGCATAGCGGGTGAAGCTTTTGCGATGCTGTTGCAAGTGAGAATGTTTCGTTGCCATAGCGGATGGAATTTTTGCGATGCCATATTAGGAAAGGGTGTTGCCATGGCGGGGAGACTGTTCGCGATGCCATAGGAGGTAAAGGACACTTCACTGCCATAGCGAGAGGAGTATTTGCGATGCCATAGTAGGAAAGGACGTTGCCATGGCGAGTGGAGTGTTCGCGAAGCCATAGCAGGTAGAGAATGTCGCGTTGCCATAGCGGGGATGAGTGTTCGCGTTGCCATAGCAGAAAGGGCGTTGCCGTGGCAGGTAGAGGACGTCGCGGTTGCCATAGCAGAAAATTTGCCATAGCAGGAAGGATGGCGTTGCCATAGCAGGGAGGGGTATAGCAGGTAGAGGACGTCGCGTTGCCATAGCGGGGTGGAGTGTTCGCGTTGCCATAGCGGGGGGGGGGGGGCGCGTTGCCATAGCGGTAGAGGACGTCGCTTTGCCATAGCATAAATGTGTTGCCATAGCGGGTGGAGTGTTCGCGTTGCCATAGCAGGTAGATGACGCGCGTTGTCATAGCAGAAAAGGGCGTTGCTATAGCGGGTGTTCGCGATGCCATAGCAGGTAGAGAACGTCGCGTTGCCATAGCGGGTGGAGTGTTCGCGTTGCCATAGCGGACGAAGACACGGCGGTGCCCCATCGGACTGAGCAGGGAGATGACGCCGCCATACATGATATTGATTTGTTACTCCCTTAGCCTTCGAGCACCGCCCACCCGCCATGAGACGCGCCCTTCCCCCGCTCTAACTCACGCCCTCGGGCTTGTCGCCGCCCTCTCTCCTCCCTTCATCCGCCTCACCGCCGCCCGCCAAGTCCCCTCAGCCGCCGCCCGCTCCCTCAGCCGCCGCCGCAGCCAAGTCCCCCCGCCGCCCGCAGCCAAGTCCCCTCAGCCGCCGCCGCAGCCTCGGTCCCCTCAGCCACCGCCCGCAGCCAGTCCCCTCAGCCGCCGCCGCAGCCAAGTCCCCCTCAGCCGCCGCCCGCAGCAAGTCCCCCTCAGCCGCCGCAAGTCCGCCGCCGCCCGCAGCCAGCGTCCCCTCAGCCGCCGCCCGCAGCCAAGTCAGCCGCCGCCCGCAGCCTCAGCCGCCGCCGCAGCCTCCCCCTCAGCCGCCGCCCGCAGCCAAGTCCCCCTCAGCCGCCGCCCGCAGCCAAGTCCCCTCAGCCGCCGCCCGCAGCCAGTCCCCTCAGCCGCCGCCCGCAGCCAAGTCCCCTCAGCCGCCCGCAGCCCCCAGCCCCTCCCCCTCAGCGCCGCCGCGCAGCCATCCCCCTCAGCCGCCGCCCGCAGCAAGTCCGCTCCCTCTCAAGTCCCCCTCAGCGCCGCCCGCAGCCAGTCCCCTCAACCGCCGCCCACAGCCTCCTCCGCCGCCGCCACAGCTCTGTCCCCTCAGCCGCCGCCACAGCCTCTGTCCCCTCAGCCACCGCCCGCACGTCCCCCTCAGCGCCGCCGCAGCCAAGTCCCCTCAGGTCTTCAGGTCATGCTCGTCAGGTCTCCGCCTTTGAGGTCGTGGTCTTTCCGTCGTGGTCTTTGAAGCCAGGTCACGATCTTCGGGTCATGCACGCTCTTCCTGAACGTGCAAGAGCCTGAGAGGTCAGTGCATGCAAGGAAATGTTCTTGAATTTGTTGTATACGTGTTTATGTGTGTGTGAGTGAATGTTTGTTTGTCTGTGTGTGTGTGTGTGTGTTTATGTAAGTGTGTGTGAGTGTGCGTGCGTGCAGATACTGTATACACGTCCTTGCATAAATCATAAGTTGAGAGAAAGCAAACACGAGACAAAGGAAGGAAGCAAGCCATGGTAAAAGCAGCGGGGGAAGGAGATTGATGACAATAGATGCAAGTTGGGGCTTGCTTCAGACCGGGAAATTCTCAAGGGAAAACAGGACAAACATGGCTCCAAGCAGACGCAACGTAGGAGAGAGAGCGAGAGACCTAGAACAAAGACAAAATAAAAATAAAAAGATTGCCATGACGTGGGCGATGAAACAGAATAGAAACGTAATTAATTGAAAGCAATAAATGGTTTCCTAGGACAGACTGAAGCAAATAGAAGCGAATATAGACTGGCGGCCGAATGTTTGACTGAGCGTGAATGCCAAGGATTCCTTCGAAGGATCTCGGTAGTTCCAAAGTCCGGCCAAGAACCGATAAGGGACAGAATAAAGGAGGGAAGAGGAGCGTAGAATAGAAATGAGGAAAAAGGCGAGAAAGAATAAAAAATTATATATATATGGGACGCGATAGTCAGGATGGGCAAAAAAAAAATGGCGCGCTTTCCTTGCCGCCAAAACAAATGACGAACGCCTCGAGATAAACCGAATCGAGAAAGGCTCTGTATAAGCGCGCCAATAAATAATAAAAAGCACGATAAAACAGGAGACAAGGGAAAACATATCGGCTGTATTAACTCAAAATGTCTCCTTCGAACGAGAAAATAATGTAAAATAAGGAAGGCAAGGGACGATAAGAGGGAAGAGAAACAAAAGGGCCATAGAGTGTATTCGTACACAGCTTCACTTGTAATGGCCGGCGATTCCGAACAGCCTCCTCGATCTCTTTGATCCTCTCGATCTCGACCAGAAACTCGGGTTTTAATTCCATCCATCCGATCCTCTCATTTTCCTTCTGTTTCTCTCGTTTTTTTGTTTTTTTTTTTTTTTTTTTTTCCCCTTTTAATGTTATTTCCATCTTCCTCTTCTTTCTGTTGCCTTTCCTACACTACCCCCATTTTTTCCTCTCATCCTTGTTTCTTCTCTATCCTCTTTCCCTGTTTATTTTTTATACTTCTCCCTCTTTTCCTTCTACCCCCTATTCTTTCTATACCCTTTTTTCGTTTATCCCTCTTCTGTCTCCTTTTCCTACTTTTATCTATCTCTCTCTCTCTCTCTTCTCTCGTCTCTCTCTCTCTCTTCTCTCTCTCTCTCTCTCTCTCTCTCTCTCTCTCTCTCTCTCTCTCTCTCTCTCTCTCTCTCTCTCTCTCTCTCTCTCTCTCTCTCTCTCTCTCTTCTCTCTCTCTCTCTCTCTCTCTCTCTCTCTCTCTCTCTCTCTCTCTCCCCCCTCCCTGGCCGTGTGTTGCTCGGAGATTCTCTTTCTTTCGCTTTAATTTCAAAATGATTCGCCAAGGGAGTTTAACTAGTCGCAGCAATTTTGCCGCTTCGTCTATTTTTCAATTATCTATTCGCCCATTTATCCGTTTATTCTTATTATCATTAGAGCTTTTTGGCGTAAAGTCATTAACATCACCATGGTAATAAATATCATGAAACCTATAATTATCATAATTAATAATCATAATTATCATAATTAATAATCATAATTATCATAATTAATAATCATAATTATCATAATTAATAATCATAATTAAGGGAATAAGAAATGGTGGAAAATAAAACGTTTTCTAGAGTGGAAAATAAAAGGTTTCTACTATGGAAAATAAAACGTTTTCTAGAATGGAAAATAAAACGTTTTCTAGAATGGAAAATAAAACGTTTCTAGAGTGGAAAATAAACGTTTTCTAGAATGAAAAATAAATAGTTTTTAGAATGAAAAAAAAAAAATCTAAAGTGGAAAATAAATCGTTTTCTAGAATGAAAAATAAAACGTTCTCTAGAATGGAAAATAAAACGTTCTCTAGTTTTCTAGAGTGAATTATAAAACGTTTTCTAGAGTGGAAAACAAAACGTTTTCCAGGGTGGAAAATAAAACGTTTTCCAGGGTGGAAAATAAAACGCTACCTGGAGTAAAATAAAACGTTTTCGAGAAAGGAAATTAAAACGTTCTCTAGAATGAAAAATAAAACGTTCCCTAGATTGGAAAATAAAACATTATCTAGAATAAAATAATAAAACGTTCTCTAGAAAGGAAATTAAAACGTTCTCTAGAATGAAAAATAAAACGTTTTCTAGAATAAAAAATAGAGCGTTCTCTAGATTGAGAAATAAAACGTTCCCTGGAATGGAAAATAAAACGTTTTCTAGAATAAAAAATAAATAAAACGTTCTCTAGAATGGAAAATAAAACATTTTCTAGAATAAAAAATAAATAAAACGTTTTCTCCCTGCTTCTAGAATTCCACTCTCTGGGCCGACCACCTTGATACACAGATCGAAGCGGGAGGCCCTTGTTTTCGAAGTCTTTTAAGTGGGAGTCTTATGCTAAAAGGAGGGAGGGAGAAAGGGAGGGGAGGGAAAGAGGGAGGAGAGGGGGGAAGGAGGGAGGGAGAGGGAGAAGGAGGGGGGGGGGAGGAGGGAGGGAGAGGGGCGTTCGAGGCTGTTTGGGAGGAATCAGCCACAATAACAGGGGCTTCAGAACGTTATCTGTGCTTTGATGGAGACAAGAAGGTTGTGAAGGAATATGAAATGAAAAGGGGGAAATGCGGCCGTTGAATTGTATTATTCTTGTCTTCAGTGTATGTGTATGTGTGTGTTTGTGTGTGTGTGTTTTGTGCATTTGTGTTTGTGTGTGTGTTTTGTGTGTGTGTGTGTGTGTGTGTGTTTATTATACATATATATATATATATATATATATATATATATATATATATATATATATATATATATATATATATATATATATATATATATATATATATATATAATATATGAAAAGAAAAAAAACCGTTCCCTAATATTAGTACACACACACACCCACATATATATACATATTTATATGTGTGTGTGTGTGATAGCAAACCCCACAATGCACAAACTAGATTTATCGCAGAAAGTGAGACAACATTCTCGGAATCATTCTCGATTCCATCTTCGGGTCAGACCCGAAGATGGGATAAAGGGCGATTCCGAATCTGTTGTCTCACTTTCTGCGATAAATCTAGTTTGTGCATTGTGGGTTTTGCTACCAAACACGGTAAAGTGTTTTTCCCTTCATATATATATAGTATATATATATATATATATATATATATATATATATATATATATATATGTATGTATGTATACATACCATATATATATATATATATATATATATATATATATATATATATATATATATATATATATATATATATATATATATATATATACATATGTATTCATATATACACATATATACGTATATATATATATATATATATAATTATATATATATATATATATATGTGTGTGTGTGTGTGTGTGTGTGTGTGTGTGTGTGTGTGTGTGTGTGTGTGTGTGTGTGTGTGTGTGTGGTGTGTGTGTGTGTGGAAAGGTATGAATGTGAACGAATATCATCACAATACAAGAGATGTATTTTAATCGGTTTTTGAATATATCTTCGTCAGAAATACATGTATTTCTGTATAATTTAACACATCTCTTGTATTAGATATTCGTTCTCATTCATACCTTTCCACATTTGTCAACATGAATACGGTTCATGTATATATATATATATATATAATATATAGTATATAGATTATAGTATATATATATATATATATATATATATATATATATATATATATATATATATATATATATATATATATATATAGAGGAGAGAGAGAAGAGGAGAAGAGAGAGAGAGAGAGAGAGAGAGAGAGTGATGTAATGTATATGTATATATATTGAATGTTTGTGCATGTATTTATGTATGCATGAAACATAAATACATGTATAGATACATGCGTACATACATACATGCATATATACTTATATATATACGTACATTCTAACATATGTGTGTTGTTGATACACACACACACACACACACACACACACACACACACACACACACACACACACACACCACACACACACACACACACACACAACACACACACACACACACACACACACACACACACACACAACACACACCACACATACATATATACACCACACATATATATATATATATATATATATATATATATATATATATATATATATATATATATATATATATACATATACCTTTCGGCGCACGTTTTCTCGAACAGCCTCAATGACTTTAGGTTTTTCTTCTTGGAGCGTCCTGACCAAACTTTTTTTTTTCCAGACGTGAAACTGCTTGGTGAGATTTAACACGATCCCACGAGCCTCTTATTCCTTAATAAAGCCTGCTATGTGATTCTTAAAGCCAGGTTTTGCCCTTTTTAAAGAAACGCGAAATTCCTCTGTTGAGCGTTGCAAGAACCAGGCAGACAATTTTTTTTTTTTTTTTTTTTTTTTTTTTTTTTTTTTTTTTTAACAGAAAATTTGGTGATGTGGCTCTCAGAGTTTTCCAAGATCATGGGACCAGATTCTTCTATATTATGAAAAGTAAGAAAAAGGATTAAAAGTGATGTTTGTGATGACTGAATGTAAATACCAATTGTTTTATCATCTGTAATTGTCTCCTTCATTATCATTACCCTCATCATAAAGATAATTATCATTAGAATATATTATGATAACATGATGTTATATATTCCTATTCCCCTTTTGAGTCTCGCTCTTGTTATTATTATGTTTCTGATTTATTGCCTTATTTCAATCCCGGGGTATAATCAACATTACCCCCCCAAAAAAAAAAAAATGATGATACTACTA